CGATTTTCAACAGAAAACTTTACTGTTTTCTAAGCAATCCGATATGTTCTATAATCTGGAAAGATAAAAAAGAAATTCTTCACGAAAGGTTTATTTATCCGGAAGATCTGTTTTCTATAGAACAAACATAGGAAGATCTAAGAGAATTTTTTTAATATTCATATTCAGAATGTTGTTTCAGTTACAACTGAAAGAAGTAAATACACTTTTTCCTGTCTACTCTATCCATTCTGAACCACTCTGAACTATTATGTATCTATACAAAATGAGAAAATTCTTGTTTCGAGGAGTCATTCCAGCTAAGTGACGACCACTTTCAGCATAAAATTTCACAATCAATCTCATTCATTTGGCTAATATTTATATAGTAGATAGATACATCTGACTTAGGAGTAAACTGAAAGTTTCAGCTCAAAAGAACGGGAGATTCAGGAAATATCGATGTTCCAAGGATAGTTACTGTAGACCATTCTTTTTGCCTAATTTTTCAAATGTTCATATTTTCTTAAAGGAGCCATCATAGTGTCTGATATTTTTACCATAAATTTTTATTATTGTGATCTTTATGTGTGCAAATTTTCATCTCGAAATTCGATTTTTTTTTAATATTTCTAAGGTAGATCACGGCTATATTCTAGAAAGAAATTTGAAAAAATGCAATATGTTGGTAAAAAATACATTAAAAATAGACACAACAGAACCATTCGAATAGTTATACCACAATTTAAGTAGCCATGTGGACAGTTAAATAGTTCTGAAAAAATTGAATACTTATGCGTGTACTTAAATACCGATGTAAATACTTAAACACCTATGGAAAACTTAAATAGCTATGGAAATACTTAAATAGCTATGAGAAACTTAAATAGCTATGCAAATACTTAAATAGCTATATAAATACTTAAATAGCTATGGAAAACTTAAATAGCTATGGAAAACTTAAATAGCTATGCAAATAGTTAAATAGCTATGAAAGAATTAAATATATATGTAAATACTTAAATAGCTGTAGCTGCATTAGAAAGCTGGAAAGTTTTCACAGTCATTTGTGTTAGCCAAAAATTGTATCTCTTTTGAGAGTGAGCCATGTATGGAATTGCAAGTAAGAGATTACTCTCATAGTCTTCATCAGTTTCGACTGCATGTCTTTCAAACAATGTAGCTTAATTTCTGCAAAATTTGGAACTAAACATTAAGAAAACATTCCTTATGTTAGATAACAATACTTAACTATAAGAAAGGACAATGTTCATTAGAAAAAGTTTATTGTGATGAAGATCGTTTTCTGCTGATTGCAAAATCGAAAAACGTTGAAAAAACCACCATATTGTGGCTTTTGAACCCTTTTATTTCATTATTATTGTTTATATGAGTAGAGTCAATCGATTTGTTTTTGATTTCGATTTTTCTTATAAACATTTGGTCAACTGAGCAAAATAATCCTTTAATATAACCAAATAAGTAGTGAGAGTTGGTAATTTCTACAAATAGAAAGATAAGTCCACGAAATAGATCCAGAAATTCAACAAATTATTTTGAATTCTTTTAGAAGACCGACTAGATATGTATCGTGAGTAATTATTGAATTGCGTTGAGTAATATAGAATTTTAAAAGTGCTTGCAATGAGACTAAAAACAAGACTATAATTTATAATAATTACTTCAAAATCGATATTAGTTGTTTCTTTCTTGCATTGATGAATATTTTAAAAGTAAAAAATACAATACAATAAACAGTTCATCAACATAATAATATTCTCCGTGAAAGATGTATTAATAGAAACCAATTATGATACAAATATTCATTTGAGATATATTTATCTATTAACTCAAGTTTTGGCAAAGTTATAGAGTTAATAGACGTACTTAGTGGGTAAGTTTTATCGTTTTCATCAATAAAAGACGCTTTCGCTCAGAGATAAGTGGATATTTTTTTAAATCATGACACAAGTTCCAGAGTATGAAGCAATAGGAATGTATACCAACGTGTTTGTTTCGATTAATGCTTATGAAATATCAAGACATCTTCTTAATGCGTTCAGAAAACAGCTGCTGGATGCATTTAGCAAAGTTTCTAGAATGGTTCGGCGCGAAGATACGTCAACATGTCGCTGTTTTCAACAAAAACACATCTACCCGCATCGAAAATACATTTTACGATTACATGGGAATATCAACATTTGTTCTTTTTTCTTCTTGTTGCTCTCCATGTGAGCTTTCTTTCGTTTGTGATACGAGCACATCTGAAACGAAGTATATGTGCTCGTGGTACTGAGAAAAAAACATGCAGCAAAATAATGATTTTTGTCGTGGCAGTATGTAAGAAAAAATTACTGAGCGATTAAGTCTATTCCGCAGCATTCAAATCATCGACGAATATACAAACAATAATTATTACTAAGGTATAAATTTGTGAAAATCATTGTGAAACGATCTTCAATAATGGGTTGTTTTGACTTACACGAACCAGAAGATGGACGCGATCGATTCTTTCTCTACGCGATGATTATTCTTCCATTCTTTTCCACTGGTTCCTATGTCTTCGATGCATGGTATAACTACGCGTATCATCCTAAAGGACGTACCTACATAGGACTGTTATCGACGATTCTCATCGTCTTCTCCCATCTACAATATTGTGCTCCGATTCGATCACGACGTTTATTGGCCGTCTATCATATTCTTCTATGGGTTGTAGCCGAGATAGCTACAGTTGGTTATTTGATCTTCTATATTTATGAGAATGAAGTATTCAAAATTTGTATTTATATCGGCTTTTTTATACTCGAGGTTTATTTTACCGCTGGTCTTTTATATTGTCGAGTTTTACACAATCTAGAATCGAATATCCTCGTTGAAAATAAACATCTCTTTCATTTCATGTCTCGCTTAGAAGTTATTCTTAGTATCTTCATACCAGTATTCATAAATACTAAATATTCATCGTTGACACGGAACACAGTTGCTTATTTTCTTCTATTCGACTTTTTCTCGGATTCGTACGCTCGATTTCAAGGTATTTGGATTAAATCGACTTTATATTTGTTTGTGACTACAGTCACGGTGGCAGTTGCTACTGAATGGTTCTATTACAATGAACATGAGTATATTTATGAAATGATTACTTTCGTTGCTGAACTTATTTCTGGCTTCCTATGTAACACCATTATTATATTACAATTTTTCCCATTCCATTTTAAAGCCGGTCACGTAAAACATATTTTCAGCGAAGCTGTACGCCATCTCAGACAGAGAGAAGCTAACGGTGGAACTAATATTGTAGTGGGCACAGATACTATAGAAAGCAATGGGAAAAATCTCTTGTGCATTGTCAATGATTCGATGAAGCTAGAAGATATCAAAGACAATCAGAATGAAACCTTTTCGGACCATTTCTGAGCTTTTTTGTAATTTTGCAAGTATCTTTTTTTCTTTAGATACAGTCTTAAAGTCATCACCAACCATGACAACCTTACACAATTTGGATTAGCATAAAATAGGATCAACATGTCGCGTGATCAATAACTGGAATCTTTTTAGGGATGAATATGAGTGTGATTGGGGTGTGGGTGTGGGTGTTTAAATAGATGAATACCCATACCCACACCCAATGTACACAGAATGGCAATCAGCACGTTTGAATCACTATCTGTTGAACTTCTCTTCGAAATCTTTGCTTGTTTTTCTATTATGTACTGGACATACTACAGTTGTTTTCGATCTTGAAGACATATTTCAAAACAATTATTAATTCTGACTACATCGTTGATACAAAAGACAAATCAAAATCATTACAGCTCTCAAGATTGCAATGGATCAGTTTAGATAGACACCAAATATTGTCGAAATATTCAGCCGAAAAATAACAATTAATGACGCTCAAATAGTGATGATGAGAGAGATGACTTAATTCAACTATCATTTTTTTCATCGAAGTGATACAATTCGATTAAGAATTGTCGAAATCAGTTTTTCATAAACATCGAAAGTCAAGAGGATTGGATCGAAAAGGTATGGGTGTAGGTCAATGAGAAGAGTCACGCCCACACCTCACACCCTTCAAACATAATTGATTCGTAATGATAAAAGAAGATCTTCTCGATTTTTACGTTAAAAAATATATAGAAAAAAGATTAAAGCAAATGCATAAATCTGATTTAGAAAGGTCTCTCTTTTATAATGATATATTTTATTGAAACGATTTCAAAAAGCGTAATGGAGATAAACTTGGTCATTTTTTTCGGATGAGAAGAGTTAAAATTTTGAAAGATAGACATGAGACTCTAGTACTAAAATGGATTGATTTCATGAACTAGATCATCACGTGTGAAATGGATATGCCTTTCTTCTTCTCTCTGCTTCGCTCTTGTTTTTTCCCTTCTTCTCTTTTCTCCTTGCCTTTAATTTTTTTTCTTATATTCTCTTCTACTTTACGTATTACTCCATTTTTTCCCCAGTTTCTCTTTCATTATTTACTTTCCACATTATGAAAAGTCGTGTATGGCAGCCTACCTTCAATAAGCTGAATTTGTAACGCATACTTCAGAGGCTTGTATGCTATAACACGAACACATAATTTCATCTCTATGTAAGCGCTTCCAAGCATAACAACAAACAGCAATATTCACAAAAAAGCGACTTTTCAGATATATTGTATCTGTATGCTTTTTTTCTCTGTTCTGTTAGAAATAAAACTTATCTCTTGATGAGTCAATCTTTAGGAGAATTAGAACTGTTCTTATCAGTGACGTTAACAGGTTTCTTCACATGATGCTATATAAAACAACAACGACTTTGCTTTTACAAAAGACGTGCGTTATATGGATTCTCTTAACTGTCCTCTTACATGTGATATTTTTTGTGATCCCGTCATTGGACAAGATGGTCACACATATGAACGAAAGGATATCATTGCTTGGTTAAAACAACATGGAACAAGTCCGATTACTCGGGAGCCCATGACTATCGAATCGCTACGCCCAAACCACATTGTACGCAAGATGGTTGACGAATTTGCAGCAGTTTCCAAGAAGAAAGAATATCAATTTCGTCTCGATGTCGATGTTCGAAAAACGGAAATACGACCCTTGTTTCAAACATGTACTAAAGCAATCTACAAAGCTGAATGGGTCGGTAGACAAGGTCCACCAATTGTTCTAATTAAAATCGATGATGCGAAGGCCAATCGTGAAGCTTTGTTTTATGTCCAACTCAGTTGTCATCCGCATATTGTTCGTACATTTGGTCTTGTTGAAAATGACATAAATTCTCTTATGCTCGTACAAGAATATGCAGAAAAGGGTAATCTTGCCAAATTGCTACGAGAAAACAATTTCAAACCAATTAGAAATGTTCTCATCGAAATATTTATTCAAATTATTGATGCAATGATTTGCATTGCTGATAATAAAATAGTTCATGGAGCTTTGGCCTGTCGAAATATTCTCGTCTTCCGATGTAACCCAATTATTCCAGAAGAAAACCTTGTCAAATTGACTGATTTTGGTCTCACTAAAGACAGCGATATTTTTTCTGTGACTGCTAGGTCATCACAAACAACAATGACGATTATTCCTGTCAGGTACGCTGCACCAGAAATACTTCAAACAAATGGCGATAGAATGTTTTATTCAGAAAAATCCGATGTGTATTCTATGGGTGTGTTAATGTGGGAAGCGTGTTCCTATGGAACACTTCCTTTTGCCTCATTGCGTGATGATAGTGATGTATATCGCTGCAAATTGCGTGGCAATCAATTATCTCGACCGGCGATCTGTGACGAAGATCTTTGGTCGGCTATCGTCCATTGTTGGAAAGTAGAATCATCTGAACGACCAACATTCAAAGAATTAAGACGTAAAATAATGTATTTAACTCATGGATCAGATTTGTTGTAAGACCATTATCATTTTGTTGTGTATTTACTATGCAAAGTATCTTGTTTAGAGCATCCAAACCCATTTTAGAGATCGGAAAGATACCTCAAGTTCAACAGATGTCTACTCTTTCGTCTAAAAGTAAGTAAGACAAGCTCAAACACTAAACGAAGATGTGCAATATGCATCGTACTTTGCCATATATCATTGAAGTGTAGCACATTTTCATTTCATTTTCGAAAGCCTGTAGAATGAAAACTATGAGCAGAAAGTAACTATACTCACTCTAGAGAACACAGAATAATCTTCTTTAGAAAGGAAACGTTTTGTATTTCGACTATGTACATTGCTAATTGATACAATTAGTTGCTTCGTTTGAGAGGAACAAGAAAGACGTTAGACGATGATCTTAACGACGAATGAAAAAGTCTTTTGAACGTTCTCTATCGAAGTTTTCTTTTATTCTGACCAATACAGAACGATCACCATCAGTTAAATTCGAAGCCCATGAAGACAAAATACCTTGTGAATATTGTAATGAACTTGTAAACTTTGATAAATATATCATGCATACAGTAAGCTGCTTTAGCAAACACTTTTCATTAACACAACGGAATTTTTTTTCGATAGCAATTATGTGCTGATCAAGAACAACCGCGAGTCGTCAGCGAAGACCGGTAAGAACAGACTTTTTTTTGAGACATTCTTTTATATCATACAAGAGCTCAAACTTGTGTGGTATGATTTGTTTCGAGGACATGTGAGTTTTAGTCTAGTATTCTCAATAGACAAATAATCTGATACAGATGGAAAACATACAGAAGTATGTTTCCTACTTTGTCGTATCTTTATAGTACGACTGCTGTATGTATCATGAGGTTTGGAAGTTTCTCAATCCCTTGACATCATTCCAATAAAATTTTTATCTTGTTTCTGCGTATTGTTTTAGATCAGTTCTATCAATACAAATAACAACATCAGAAACACAAGTGGCTATTGCTTCGGAATGCAAACGAGGCAACATCGAGATTACAGTTTGTCATTTCAAGCATACTGTTAAGGTAACTCAACTATTTGATGTTGGTATTAGATAGATTGGAAACAAAAAATAAGTATCTTCTCGTCCCTTTCCAAAATAGTCACCTTTCAAAAAAAAACAATCTTTTGAATCATAATATTGATCTTAGAATCTTTTTCTTTCTTTTCTACAGAATTTGTCATCACCTACGATTTATCGAATAGTAACGAGAAGTTCGCTTCCCATATTCAAAGCAGTCCAATTTGGAGTAAATCGTCGTTTTAGTGATTTTCTTGGAGTACATGGCAAGCTGATCGTCAAATATCTTCCTGAAGGCATAATCATTCCAGCCTTACCTGAAAATGATTCAAGCAGTGTACCGAAAGATATTATTGAGCGACGGCGAGCTCAGCTTGAACGTTACTTGAATCGTCTCGCTCGAAATAAGACACTCGTTTGTGATTCCGATTTTTTGATGTTCATCGAACTACCTGAAGAACTACCAAAGATGACAAATAATCTTTGGCGAAATCTCCTGTCTATGTCGATAATAAAAACACAAAAAGGCGACTGGTTCGATGAAAAACAGGTGAGCATAGTAATTTTGAAAATGATAAAAGTTATTTGAAGAAAACCTCAACTACAGATCGAATTATGATTTTGATGTATTTCATATCACGTAAAAGAAAGAAACATAAAAAATTCTGACAATTTGACAACCATAGGCACAATCAAGGAAGAAAGGATTAAAAAAGAAATGACATGAGTTTTTTCTATTTTATGCTTAACTGGGCATAAAGTTTGTTTGTTATTCAATGGCAATTTTTTTTTTAATAATCAAGAGTACAGTTGAAGGATTTTGCACAGTTGATAATTTTTCATTTATTAAACTGTTCTCACTACTTCGTATGTCATCCATCAGCAACATATCGGATACACGACAAAAATCCTAAGAATAAATTCTTCTCTTAAATGAAGTATTTTCTCGTTATGATTAACAGTGTCTTTGTCTCTTCAGAAGTACATTATTGATCTACAAGCTGATCTGAGGATGTTAAAGTTTCACTTCGATTATTTATACAAGATGCGAAAAGAGTCAAGTGTAAGACTTGACGAACTTACCATGCAACTGAGTATTTTAGCTACATGTGAAGATCATTCACATCTTAGTTCAAGTTTCATCGAACTGGCCAATGTTCAAGAGAAACTCGGTCAGATCAATTCCGATCTTACTCAACAAGAGTTTTTATTAATGAATGAGCTACTAAATGAGTATCTCTTACATCTCGATATGGCGAAGTGTGCCTTCAATGAACGGGCAAAACTCCATAAATCCTGGTTACTTAATACAGAAATGCTTCAAAAGAAACTCCTTGAAAAGGTAGGAAACATTTCTAGAGTTTATAATTATATATTTATCGATAACTGGAATGCTTTGTACAAATTTAATCTGTTCGAACAGAATTTCGGAATTTATAATGGACTAACAAACAGTACATCTATTCAGTGTGATCGACGATGCATTTTTGTATAAAAGATTTAAATTTAGGATGTATAGAATTGCGTTTCTCATATATTTTTTCAAATGAGATAGAATAAAAAAAGTTGACATGAAGTAGAAAACATATATGCCATATAATATAAGAAGACGTTGAATCTTTGAGAAAAAGACCTTACATCTATTGTTCAATTATTCATCATGATAATCTTCATTCATCAGAAGGACTATTTGATAAACTTTACGAAAAAAATTAATGAACATATATCTTATTTTTCTATTCCAGGAATCTCGTGCTGAAATAGAAGTGAATAATTTGCAAGAAAAGGTTATACATGACATGGAGAATTTCGAACGAATTTCAGTGAGACTCAAGCAAGAATTTGAAATGTTCGAAGAAAATCGAATGGAAGAATTTAAGACTAATATTAATACATATATAAAACAAATGTTGGAGCAACAAGAGAAAGTCCTCAAAATCTGGGAAGCCTATTTACCAATATCAAACAGTTTTACTCTGACTGCCTGACGTCGAACGTTTTTCATGTTCGACATATAACTATTGAGATTGTACAAGAATGTATGATGTGATTTTTACAATATTTTACTGAAATAAAGCGAAGAAATCTTAATTTAACTACAACGAAGCGTTTCTACTACACCGAAGTCTCTTGAGATACTAGATGTAAGGATTAAAATATATAAATTAAAATATACAGTATCCGAAGAGTGATTGATCAAAAAGAAAGTTGTATATCTTCATTATGGTTCCCTGGAATGAACTAGTTTTTGTGTTGCTGATAGAGGATACTTCCAAGTTTTTAACCATAAATATAAAGCTCCCAAAATACTTCTACAAAGCAGCACTTTCAGATTCAATATACAATAAAGATCTTTTTCGGGTTTCAAAAAACAATCTGTAGAGTTTTTCTTAAGAGTGTAGCGTATGTGTATGAGTATGGATGTGAGGTATAGGTGTGTGTGGGCGAGTGTGGGTGTGAGTGGGTGTGGGTGTGGGTGGGTGTGGGTGTGGGTGTGGGTGGGTGTGGGTGTGGGTGTGGGTGGGTGTGGGTGTGAGTATTTCAGTTCTTGCAACACGCACCCACACCCCACGCCCACACCCATACTCTGCTTTTTGAATGAAGTGGTTTATTTTTATAAGAAATGTTCCATCTATCCAATATCAATCTTATGAAGAATTTTAATCCTTTTTGTTTGTTTCTATCACTCGTGATAATCTATCAGCTGATAAGCAGCTAGCTTTGTCGGTCAATAACCACCAAGCCGTTTGCTTGTGTATAAACTTAGTCTTGTTATTTATTTGCACTTGAAAATAAGAGTTTTTCAATGCTGGATTAATCGAATCAAGTATACACATACTAGTAGAATCTGCCTCTTGAAACCTTGTGAAGTCCTACGAAGTTTTGTGAAGTCTGATGAAGTCTTGTGAAGTTTTATGAAGTCTTAAGAAGTCTGATGAAATCTTATAAAGTCTCAAGAAATCCTATAAAGTCTCTGAAGTTTCACAAAATCCGTGAAGTCTTGAAGCCTGCTGGTTCCCCCTTGGTTGTAACAGAATTCTGTTTGAATTCTGCTGGTATTTTTAAATTCTTAACTAGAATTTCTTTTCTCTTCGATATACACATTTCTAGTATGGCTATTGAAAGTTTGTATTCTGGTAGTCGTAACAAAATTCCTTTAAAATTCTACAGATATTTTTAAATTCATTATGACTATTTTTGTTTCCTCTTGGGGAGATACCATTCTGGTATGGCTATTCAAAGTTTATATTCTGCTAGCGGTAACAGAATTATGAGTGTAGCGATTAGTAATTTATTTGCTAATGGGAATATATCTTAGGGAACTGATCCATTGTTTACCGATTGGATTTTTAAATTCTGAATTCTGCTTGGGAAGAATTCTGCAGCCCCTCCCTCTATTCTTTGTCTTCTATGCTTCGAACTTCATATCAATCAAATAACAAATACGTTTGTATATGGTTGAAATTAATAATGTTTAAGTCTCACGATATTTTTCTTTAAATTTTTCAGTTCATCTTATTATCAAAATTATTAATATTATCTTGTTAAAAATTGAAAGACTTATTTTTTACAAAGAAAAATCAATCTTGAACGATGAAAACCAATAAAATAATTGATAAAATTGTAATTAACATATTTCTTTTAATTCAATTTTCATTTCTTCAGATGATTATTATAGTACATAACACATTATTATCCAGTTATTCAATTACTTGTATCTCAAACTAAACTCATCTTTAGGAAATTTGCAACTCTTCCTAGGATTGTGTATTTGAAAAGAAGATAGATTTGTTCGTATTACAATATGTTTATTGAAATTTTTTGCTGCTTCTATTACAATTGATTCATCAAATGAGTATAATCATCATCGTTTCACTTTGTTCGATTCGATTTCATTTGTGTGACAAGATTCATAAGCATGTTTTAGTTTCACTGTCATTTTCTGTGCGATGTAATATAGAATGTCTTGAAAAAGTTTGATACAAGTATCGCATGACTGAAAAAGCCAATCTGATTATTTAGTAAAACTATGTATCGTCAAACATTGACTATGTGCACATAGTCACCATGTGTTCACGGTTCGATGGATACCTATCTCATTGTTGCATCTAATTTCAAGCCTCATTGTACAGGAGTCGTATGTAAACGTCAAAAAAAAATACTTGATTCAAGGAAAAATATACGCGCATATGTTTGACATAATTGCGAGCATTGATATTTTCTTTTATTCTTTCTATTCATGTCTAATGATCATCTAGCAGTCGATAGCTTGTTATGTGTGTGCATTGTTCTTTCTCTTGCATTTGTATTTTTTGTATTGGACCAAATATTGTTTGAAAAAAATGATACATAGTTACGGTCTTCCGAATTATTTTTTTTTTCATACACATCAACAAGAGAAAAAAAAGTGCAAAATCAGATAACGATATGATGAATACAAATACAATGAAATTGTCACAATCCGTATAACAAACAACAGTGATGTACTTTTATTCTTCGACTTTTCTTGTTGTTCTTCTGCTTTCGAGCAGTGCGATATTGAATTTAATTTCGGCTTCCTGCATAATCGACTCCCAATGTTCAAAGCCAAATTCAAAGTGTGCCATCTGTGCCCAAGGAAAAGGACCAACATGTTCAATTCCAATATGTCTCAATGGAAATTGTGGTCAAATTGATGCATGCTCGTTGAAACTGAGAGGAAAATGCACTATGGATGATTTTTGTGCAGCGCAGATAGACTGTAAAGATTGTACTACAACTAAAGGACCGTCTTGTGGTGGTCCATTGTGTCTGAACGGTCAATGTGCTCTGATTCAACCGTGTTCCATTAAACTGCTCAAGTGATTATTTATCTTTTAATAAATTTGACTTCATTTGAAAACTTTGACAATTCTGTCTAATTCTTTTTTTCTGCATCTAATCAAACTCTGATTTCATGCGCGTGAACTTCAGACAAAGAGAAAAATCTACTCACTCCTGTTGGTTACAATTAAGGAAGTTCTGAAACGGCTCGGCTTTCTACAAGTTATGGATGCACATACTGTCTTTGTGTTGAATCATTGTTTACATTTCTATTATTCGTATTATGATGCATATAAGAAAACAATATCAGTCCGAAATCGGGTTTGGTGATCAGTCATTTTTCTTGAAATGGATAGATATTCTGAAGATAGATTTGGATTTTAGATATGTGTCGAAAATGATGAATGTAATGCATAGATGGTTGACAAAACCAACTATGATTTATCAAGAACATATAATCTTGACAAGTTATAGTTTTGAATATATTTTGTTCATAATAATCAAACTGTTCCAAATATCTTCAAATAAGTGATCGATGATTGAAACTGGGAGTTGAACATTCATAATATGTTGCGCAATATTCGCTAATGCATTGATACAAACGAAACAACATATTTTCAGATCGATTAATGAAAGTAGAAGCTGCAAGAAAAACATACATACATGAAAAATGAGTGTTTTTTGATTATTTTCCTCTCGAAAATGAATTCCTCAATTACTATTTTCGTATTATATTATAAAAACAATAGCGTAGATAATTCGCGTCAAAAATCAGAATGTTGATACGTATCTATGTCAGACAATGTTGTGTTTTAGGCAAAATCAAACATATGTTGTTTTTAAATTTTAAGAAGAAAAAGAATCGAATAAGATACGAAGAACGTTTAGATTGTGATTTTATATATAAACAATAATAATTTGACTACATTTACAGAGTGCCTGAAAAGTAGCTTCCTATTTTAAATCCATGGTTACTCTCAAACAACAAAAGATATTCGAATAATTTTTTCACTGTTTTGCAGCATAAGTCATGAGGTTTTGTTGCAGATGAAATAAGCCGATTAATCATTTGACTCTCTAATATCCAGTCCAAATTTCGTTTTGACAATACCTGGAAAAACTCATTGCATTGTATAGTTTATTATTCTTGTACTAAAACCCAGGATGTTGGTGTGTGGATTGAGGTAAACATTTTTGTACTGTCTAAACACGCATCACAACTTCATATACACACCCACATGCACACGCCACACCGGTACGTACACCCACACTCACACCTTAGTTTTAGTACACGAATAATAAACTATACAATATAATGAGTCTTTTCAGATATTGTCAAAATGAAATTCGGACTGAATATTAGAGAGTCAAATGATCAATCGGCTTGCTTCATTTACAATAACACCTCATGACTCATGCTGCAAAACAGTGGAAAAATTCTTAGAATATCTTTTGTTATTTGATAGTAATCACGAATTTAAAATAGGGAGCTACTTTTCAGATACTCTGTATTTTTTTAAATGGAATATATATTTCGACAATATTTTGTTTTATTTCTTGGACGTCGAGATTAGGTGTGCACCGAATCCGGACGTTCGGATTTGGTCTACAATGTAGTCATTTTCAATTAGTTATCGAAAAGAATCAGATATAAGCAATAAAAAAGACATTTCAGATCTGGTTATGACAAGTCTCACATAGTGAAATAACTAATCCAAAATTCGTAGATTTGGAAGAATCCTAAAAGTGAATAATCTTCAGAAGTACTCAAATCTGAGCTCGAACTTAGTCAAAGCTAAGAGTGTTTCCATGATTCATTATGTACTTCAAGAACTGCTTACGTATTTGTCCAAGTTATAGGTATGAATTGAACTAGAATCTTTGGAATCGATGAGTTTGATTCAAGTTCGAATTTGAGCTCGATGATATGAACCAAATAGTTCATTGTTTCGCTCATGACAAAAACTCTTCAATTATAGTGAGAAATTCTAGATTTTATCCTTCCTATTCCATTTTATTTTAAATTAGAAAAGACATTCAGACAAAGACTAAGGAGCTGCTCGAATTCAATTGATCTTTTCATACAGTTTGGTGATTGATCCATACTAAATATCTAGATAATTTTCTTGGATTTCTCAAATTTAATTGTGATAAAACTATCTTAGTAGGAAAATGAAGACAAAGCTCAATATATTTCATTGTATCATAATATCTACTAACATGTGATGGAAAAGACTTTGAAAAAATGTCAAACTTTGTTATGCCATATTGTCGACCACTAAATCAAGAATTTTTTTATTAGAAGGAGCAAAATCTCAGCTAGAAACTTTGTACCAGACATATTTTTGCTACAACTAACCTGACGAAAAAGAAAAGTCCGAAACAAAGCAGCTCAAAAAAGTTCATGTAACATTTTACAGCTTGAAAACTCTGTCTTTCTAAATTATTTTGAGCTACACAGATCGATTAAATTGAAATCCAATACGCCGAAATGGAGAACATTGAAAATTCTATCAGTATCAACTTTTGAAAAACTTTTTGGCCCTGTTCCTGATTCTTTAACTAAAAACGTTTGAAAAATGAAATTTTCTGAACATACAACCTTCTTCAAGAAATATCAGTCATCATCAACAGAAATTCTGCATGAATTGAATTCTTTTTGTGTTGTTTATTCGAAATACTTGGATCATACATACCAAAAGTAGTTACATCAATTTCTTGTAGAATACTTGAAGAAATTTTCTTTTTATATAGAATGCTAATAAAAACAAAACTCTACATTTCTATACCATTTGATTATTATTAATCTAATAACATAATAATAAAATAACCATAATCAATGATCTTTTCTTGTCCTAGATCATATTAATCAATGACTTTTCTGTTTCCCTTAAGCAAAATAAGTTCAAATCAATAGAAAAAAAAATCAACAATTTAGATTTTATTACAAATATTGAAGGGAAAAAGAATGTATGATAATTTTGAGTAGCTTGGTTTTCAAATAAAAATAAAGATTTTTTTTAATAACGTAAAAATTTTTGTACTCGATGATTGTATCTATCAGCAACATACAAATTAAGTTCAGCATCGAATATCACTGCATAAGGATAATAAAGTAATGTGGCATTGCTTCCATTTAAGCCAGTTACACCTGCAATTGTGATACCATTCAATTGATCAGTCAAAAATAATTGTACCCGATGATTATTTCTATCTATAACATATACATTTTTCATTGGATCGAGCATAACACCGATAGGATTACTAAGTAATGTTGATGAGTTACCAGAAGTTCCATTAATACTACCAGCAACTAATGTCCAACTACTAGCACCTAATATCCAACGAACGACATTATGAGCATCATAATTGACAATAATAAGACTGTTCGATGAAGAATCAAAGTGAACAGCAACAGGACGATATAATTGTGTTCTATTTGTTCCAGGTCCATTGCCACCAGCAACTACTGTACCTGATAATTGACCCCATTGATACTGCATTATACGATGATTTTCATAATCTGCTACGTAAAGAGTTTTAGTAATTGAATCACGTGCAATACCAAAAGGTTGATTCAATTGATTAGTTGAATTACCAGCTATACCTTAAATATATAAAATATTTTTTCGACGTTTTGACAATCTCAAATATAATCTTTCTATTACCAGTTCCACATATTGTACTGCCTGAACGTGCACCGTAGTGCCAAAATTGAACACGATGATTTCCTACATCGGTTACATAAATATTATCAGAAGAATCAAACTGAATAAATGTCGGTTGATTTAAATGGTATAAAGTAGAACCACCCGTAGCATTTGCTTGACCAGCTACAGTTGTACCTGTAGATGCATTTATATCCCACTTTTGCACACGATTATTGATTCGATCAACAATATATAATGCATAAGAAGAATCAAATCCCAATCCCCATGGATGGTTAAGTTGATTAGCTGCAGCACCAGATACACCTGAAATCCCGGCTACAGTTATACCTGTTGAATTCCAACGCAGAAATAAAGGTGCAGTTGCTACAATATAATATATTATACAATACAATGCTACGTCTATTTCATGGAAAACAATATCTCACTGGTTGATGCCGTATTGGACTTGATCAAAATACTCGGCAATATGGCTGCAATGATAGCAGCAATGAGAAAAATAATGATTATGAGAATAATTATCTTTAATTGTAAACATCTATACAAAAAGTAATTGATAAAAATTTGCATATATATTAAAAATCATATGAAATAAGAATAAAAAAAAAATTTATTTACTTTCTTTTTTTCTTTTTATTTTTAATCATGGAATTCATTCGGTATGAGCAAATATCTGTCGTCTATTTACAACAGAAAAATAAGATTATTTAAAAAAAAAAAAGACGAATATTTTACTTGAATACTATAACATTTTTCAGCATTATTGTCCTGGAAAAATAAAAAAAAGAAAGTCGTCTTTTATATTTAATTCTATATCAAAAAGATTTTGCGATTACTTTAAATAACTGTAATGAAGAACTCTTGGCTTTGAATTCTCTTTTATTACCATGCTCATAAGTATTTCCTTCTCTTATGACCGTTGACTTTTCATTGATATTATTAATACATTTTGCAGCATTTGTTGAATCGATTAATCTATGATCTATAGGTCGAATTCTATTGCTTGATCGAGAACTTATACGAATGGAATTACTAGATGGTATCTCTCTTGGCAATGTATAATGAGACTAAATCAAGTGTTCAATAAGAATGAGAATCGGAAAATATTCAATATACTTACTGAACTGAGTCGCAATCGATGACTATGGTAACGACGAGAAGAAACTTTCACAATACGAGGTGACATTGGCAGCACATGATCTAAAACCTTTCTTATCAATATACAACAATATAAAATAACTATATTGTAATTACTTCTCGATTCTACGTGTCTTTGATCCATCATCATTGCTATCAATTTCTATTGAAAATGACACAAGATCTTTTCTTTTTATTCGTTTTATTATTTTTCATCAATATGATTATATTTGTCTAAGTCACATGACAAAAGAGAAAAAGTAATTAATTCATGTTTCTCTTTGTAAAATCCAAAGGTTTCCTACTTTCATCAAAGATAATAATACGCACAATTGTAATAATGTGCATTAGTTTGCATATGAAAAATAAATAAACGAACCCCTAGATATAATAACAGGTGCGCCATAAATAACTGCCCTCTTAGTATTTTTAACATTTCTCCTCTATTATCCCTGTGATTCAAACACCTTTTTTTATCAAAAGATAGCGCTTGAAATTCTCTACAAAATCATATATGACTAGACCTTAAAACTGCTTTAGATATATCTGAAAAAAGATGAAAAATAAAGACACACAAAAAGCGGTAGAAAGTAACGGGTTGTACATTAATGAATGGCCACGCTTTGCATCCTATTTCTTCATCACTTACTTCGCCCTATTAGATAAATAAAGTATACCAAAAGATGCAGCGTGAACAGCTCTACAATTTACACAAGATCTGCTATTTTATAGTCGCACTTTTTGTTTTCAAAATGAACGAAACTTTGAGCAATCGAATTTCGACCGGGCGAAAATGATATTTTTTTTGGTACAAGATTAATTCGTTTTTTCTTATTTTCTCTTTTTTATAATTTGTCCTTTGTAAATTGTAGAGTTTTTCACGCTGCATCTTGTGGTGCAAATTTAATTTTTTTTTAAATAAAACATATCAGGTAATAAGAAGATGAAATAAGAAAAAACGAATTCACCTTGTACTAAAAAAAATATTATTTTCGTACGGTCGAAATTTGATCGCTCAAAATCTTGTCCATTTTGAACACAAAAAGTGCAACTATAAAATAGGCGGTCTTATATGAATTGTAGATCTTTTCACGCTGCATCTCTTGGTTTATTTTGTTTTTTAATAGGACGAAGTGATGAAAACATTAGATACAAAGCGCGATCCTTCATTATGTACAATCCGTTATTTTTTACAGCTTTTTGTGTGTCTTTATTTTTCATCTTTTTTCAGATATATCTAAAATAGTTTTAAGGTCGAGTCATATGTGGTTCTGTAGAGAATTTCAAGAACTATCTTTTGATAAAAAAAGGTGTTTAAATCACAGGGATAATAGAGGAGAAATGTTAAAAATACTAAGAGGGCAGTTATTTATGGCGCACCCGTTAGATGACAAAAAATAACTGCCAGTTTAAAATTTATTTCTGACGATACTGAAGATCTAAAGTATCGTCTTATTTTGAACATTTTTAAATTGATGATGGTAAACAAAGCATGGATGTTCCATTTCATAGAGAATCTGCAACTAAGATTTGATTCCATCATAATAATAATAATATTAAGATTAAGTATTTTCAAATTGTAATAAGGTAGTTTGTCATTATTACCATATCCTGTCATTGAGATTGTGCCCACTCAGAACGATAAAAGTGCATCTTTTCGATGAACAAAACATGACAGATACACAACCGCTCTATTTTAATCGGCCTGCCTAAGCAGGCAGTCTCGCTGGCTTGAGCAACAAAGCAGAGATGCGCGAATACAAATACAATTTGTACTCAGGAAAGATTACGACTCCCTATGTACTCTCATGTACCGGATGTGGGTGTGGATGTGGGTGTCGGTACATGACAGTGCAAGTTCTGAAAATTAAACATTTCCTCCAGCACTGGAGAATATATTACAGTACATTAGAATACATGCGCGTGTATGAGAATACCTGACGTTATAAATTCTCAAATTCTAAGTTTGGGGGGGGGGGGGGGAGGCTATTCTTTCACGTGCACAATTTGTACTTGTATTCGCGCAGTCCCCATTGACCATGTGTTCATCATCAGTTATAATCGAATTAAATAGTAATGTACGTACGATCGATGATTGTTTGTGTCTATTTGACGGTTGTTCAATCAAATTAGAACTTTTATCGTTACTATTAATTCTATTGAAGCTCTATCATTGAACAGCGATAATCATGTAGAGAATTTTTCTTTTAAAACGTTATTATTTTAAGTGTTCTTTTGTTTTTTTTTTCGCATAATCTATCTAATTTAACAACATTTTTCTTAACTTTATGTTTGTCAACAAGAGAGTATGGTAATTTAATAGTGTCATTACTTCAACAAATGTCGAATATGGAAAAGCTTAGTTTATATCTCAATGTTGAAAATCAATCGAAATTTATTGATAGTGCTAATCTCTATAACAATAGACAATTGTACCGACATCAATTATTAGTTAAAAAATAATGACATTGAAGAAAGATACATAATCGATGATGGTCATCCTTTTATTCACTACTGTATTGATTATTTTACAAATAGTATTGATCGATGTCATATATCTTCATTTCCATTCATTTAGTCATTTCGATTATATCACTAATCATTTTTGAGATTATTTACAACAACTTGAATCTATGATCTAAGAATATATAAAATAAAAGATAATTTTTCTTCATAAAATAAAATAATATGATTGATCGATTTATTTTCTTATTGAAGAACATTGTAAGTGTGAATTTATGTCTTGACTGCTTTCAAATCTTCATCTTTATAGCCATATTTTTTCTTTTTAAATTTAAGTTTTTAAATTAGTAGTAATTATTTATCAGTGACGAATGAACTTACTAAAGAAGCTATAATTGTAGATTAATTATTCTGCGATATATACACGTAGATTTTCATGAATTATTAGGGATCGAAATGAGCATGCGCAATGTATGGTTGAATATAGAACCGACACGTGCTCATCAAATAGTTGTGAATCTAATACTGAGAACTCTTATTATGAAACTGACAGTAACTTGATCAAAAAAAAGTATGAGAAGACACACGCTTATATATATCCATTTATATGAATCTTAATTGAACATATGTTGACTTCTAATTGTAAACTTAATAAAAAACAAGAATATCTTTTGTTTTTTAAATCTATGCAAATGCTGGAATATTATGGCAGTAAAACATGCTTAATTATATTTTTATTTTTAAGAATATATACTCCATCATCTCGTAAGACACACGATCCAGGTCTTTAAGTAATCTTTTATATTTGATTTATGATAGACTTTGCCATTTTTATTCGTTTGAAGAACGAGTTCGATTAGAAAAAGAATGTGATGAACAAATTGCTAAAAAGAAAATGAAAGAATTTATTTAAAATTTTCTTATATATTATATATACATGTAGTTTTTTTGTTTTTGTATATAAGATAAAGGACATATTGTGAGAATTTATATTTTCAATGTAATAAACTTGATTATTATTATTACATAGATGGTGATCTAACCGAAAAAATACATTAGATGGATCCTTCTAGAAAGAGTGCACACCAAGGGGAAAAGCGCAGACTTCTGTACTTCGTTGTACTTCTCTATACTTCTTATACTTTTAACGTACAAAGTCCTGCTTTTTTCCCCTTGGTGCGCACTTGCATCCATAATATAATTTCAAAATTTTCAGGGGAGAACGAGTGATACAGCGTATCCTTTTAGTTAGGCCTACTAGTAACAATACTAGCGTATGTGAACTGATACAGATGTCTTTAGCATTATCATGATTATAAAAATCGATGCAAACTCTCGATTATTTGCACCTTTTTAGTATGTTATTCAATATGCGTTGTTATCTTTTTACTGTTTTTCTCTTGATATTCATCACCAGTTATGTTTATTCCAATCAACTTAGTCGTAGTAAACGTTGTCTAGACTGTTGTGGCAGACATCCATGTTGCCACTGTTGTGGTTTACCTCGTTGTAAATTTAAGTTCAATTTTATCAATATTAATCTGAATATCGAACCAATCGTAAACACATCAACTATTCCCAATTTAATTAACAATTCTACTCGGCCTACAATGTGCCTCATGTGTTGTGGAAAACCGCCTTGCTGTAATACATGTGGACTCGATTTGAATGTCTCCAAGACAAAATACTAATAAAATAATTTTTTTGTTGATTCTTTAATAATACCAATAAAAATCGTCGACATATTCTGAAGTCTTCTAATTTGTTCTATCGTTTATTAGTTGTAGAAAGATCTCTCCTTTACAAATAAGACTGAACTAAAATTCTGGTAATTCGATTCCATAATATTCGAAACAAATGTATTCCATAATCTGTGATTTGGTTCTATTGATGAATCATTGACTTAAAGAAAAGCATTTCAGAGACTAATCGATTTTCATACGGCACTCCACTATGTAGTAGAAACACTTTGATATCATAAATGTTTTCCAGAAGTAGACAGGTTCTGTTTCGAAGGAAAATTTCAAGACTAACAAAAGATACATTCTATTGTAATGACGTTTGAACTAAGCATCTCATCTCTTCATCTTTATAAAAGAGGGATAAGACTCTCAAATTATTCGACGGGTGTGGGTGTGGATGTGGGTATGCTAGCTGAGATATGATCAATTCACATCCATGCCCCCCCTCCCCCCCACCATATCGTAAATACCGGACAGTTTTTAGCGGTAAACTGCAGTATTTATCAAAACCGGCAGTTTACCGCGGTAAATTGCAGTAACGGGAGGCGATAACTGGATCGGTAAAACCGCGGTAAACCGGCGGTTTTTCCAAGCGTTTTTATGGCATGGGAAGGTACAAGAAAAAATCATTTAAAATAGCAAAATCGATGATTTGGAGCAACTAAATGTCAATGATCATCAGCGAACCGGTTAACCGGTTCATTTTAGCGGTACAACAGACAAGATAAATTTCATAATGAATCGAAAAGACTAAATATGTTTTCTGATCAACGTCAACGAATCACGATAGATTAATATTTTTAATATATACTGTTAATACTGTTCGACGTCAATTAAACTCGTATCATTTAGTACAATAGTCGTTCTATAGGAGTTCTATGTGAATATAGAACATCATTGAACTGAAGAAATGCTTTTCAATGATGCTATTCTAGTTCTAAGTTGCATTGTGCAACGAAACTGTTATTGCCTTGATACATCGCCTTACATGTGTCATTTTCATATGCAAATAGGTTTTTTCTGCCTTCTCCTTAGTTTTGATATCGTTGTATATATAGTCAAGATAAAAGATAAGAAAAGAAACCTTGCAAAAAAAACCATGCCGTTATTATGTGCAGTGCGTTTTTATTCTATTTTAGAGTATGGCTACAATTATACCAAGTCAAGTCGATATTTCAAATGAAGAATCACTTAGATTGGTGTTAAATTTTTTGGTGAGTTCTTCAATCTCTAGTGCAATTGTAAGATAGAGAGAATATTATCATTTGATAGAAAGCACATCTTCCGGAATCACTTCAACTATGGCAATTGCTCGATTATGTACAACGAGGTTTCATTACTAAGGAACATATATGGCCACATAAATTATTTGTTGATAATCAAGATCAAATTCAATGTGTAGTACTAGTGTATTCTGTAATCGGTTTTACAAGTGATCATCGTCTATTAGATGAGAACAAAGAAACAAGTAAAAAATATGTCTTATTCTATTCTCATCTTGATAATGATCATCTACTTATGACTCTACTTGAACAATGTGTTCCATGGAATCAAGTAGATATAATTATGTATTCAGACAATGATTATCGATTTTCAACTATGATCAAGAATCTTGTTCGAGAGAAAAAATTGGGTGATTTGAATGTGTATTCTGCCTCTCAAATGGAAATTAATCGAGAAACGTTGGAAATGACGGAAGCGAAGATTATACAACACATTCCACCAGGTAAATAAAAGGAATCAGAAATGCTCTAGATGTTTAACAATATAATTGATTTACACGTATGTTCAATTGTTCTTTTGAAGAAGCACGGGACAGTTCAATGAAACATTTGCGCACTGCTTTTTTGAAGCATCTATTATAAGACTATTCTAATATAAAAAAATTTTTAGACATCACTATTCGACGTTTATCAGTAGCCGATGCATCATTTGTCAACGATCATTGGGAATATAAGTCGATGTTTTCGCTCGATCTAATTCAATACGAAATCGAACATTTACCAGCGTTTGGTAAGTTTTTCATGGAAGAATTTTTAAATATTATTCATGTTAATAAGAGATCTTCTTGATATTTTGGAGGTGCATATCATAATGAACAGTTAGTGAGTTGGTGTTTGACAAAGTTCGATGGTTCTTTTGGAATCATGTTTACACTACCTGAATTTCGTCGACTTGGTATTGCATCACTAGTGAATGTACACTTGGCTTCGGAATTGTTCAAGTTACAAGAACACATTTCCTGTGTTGTATTTAACGGAAATGAGTTATCGTATAAAATGTTTGAAAAATTGGGCTATCGACAAACATCTAAAGTCTATTTTGCTTACGTCATCTCGAAATAAAAAGAAACAACAAGTATGAATAAAGAAGCTATTTTCAATTGAATACACATGCACAGGACCAACGAACACCATTCTTTTTAAATGTTTGAATATGTCTTTTTGAGATCTATCGAAATATTTAGGGCATAATCGTTGAATCTTTCAAATCTATCATATTTGTAACTTAAAAAAGTACCGCCATTCTCGGCGGAAAATATTTTGTCGAGTAGGCAATGACAATGCTTATATCATCCATAAAAATGTTTATCTGTTTTTGATTGATTTGTGAGCTTGAAATGTTTCAGAGATCAAAGTATCTTCGGCATCGTTTCATCGTTATTTTTAAGGATACGGTCAACATGAAGGTGTGGGCGTAGGAGAGTGAAACGTTATTTGCTCAACACACGCACGCTCTTTGGACTCCTCACTTTAATTAATGTCAAAGACTGTTAATAAGTGGAATATCAATGGTACCACCAAGTGGTGTTGATGTATTGATAAAATTTAGATTTTTTATTTTAAAAAGAATTTGTTTTTTTATTTGTCAAACTCTTTTGTTAAGTGCATTCAAACCAGAAGAAATAGAATATATAATTCATTTTTAATTCGTCGTACATTGATAAATATAGCACAAAGATTAGATTATGAATTTTCAGTTGATGTTGGTCTTTTACAGATTCATAAAGCTTTAGATTATATTGGTTCATTGGCTAAACCATTGATAATATCAAAAATCCGATTAGATATAATAAGTGGACAAGGAACAAGAACTTATTTTAAAGAATTTAATCAAGTTCAAACTAGCTCTGAGGATGTGGATGTGAGTGTTGATTATTTGACTGATCCACGCCTCACACCCACACCCACACCCAGCCCTCTCAGACCGAACTCAAACCCGAACGTTCGGGTTCGATGCATGTTTATTCGTGGTACCCACTGAAAAAATTTGAGATTATATGAGATTTTAACCGGATTTTCGTGAAACAAAATCCGAATTTTAATCGATTGAAATCTTCCAAATCAACTATAATCTGATTTTTAATCAAAAATAATCTCGTAAATCAAGTAAAATTTTGATTAAAATCTTACATTTTCGATTAAAAATCATATTCAATCAAAAATATATGATTTTAATCGGAGTTTTACTTGATTTACGAGATTATTTTTGATTAAAAATCAGATTATAGTTGATTTGAAAGATTTCAATCGATTAAAATTCGGATTTTGTTTCACAAAAATCCGGTTAAAATCCCACATAATCTAATATAATCTCAAATTTTTTCACTGGGTAGTACCAGCGTTGATCAGTACTTTTCCGTTGAAATTTGACAGAACTTGTTGCACAGTCATCTTTGATTCGTTACAAATTGTAGCCATTATTTGGTGCTGTTTACTCGGAAGAGGTCGATCAAGCCTCAAATATGCTCTAGTTTAGTTACCATAATCATAAAGTGATGTTGTCCAAAATGGATTGATGAGTGTACCCGAGCAAATCTAATCGACAGATAGTATTTGAGAAACTCAACACAGTCAAGTAATGAGACATCTACACGCATCGAGAGTGTGGGTGTGAGCGTGAGTTTTTATATTCTTTTCAAACATGCACATTCACATTCAACCAGTAGTTTTGAATTAAAATGATAATTTTTATCGACTTTTCACATAACAAACAGTTGCTGTCAAAACAATTAAGAATCGATGGTACAAATATAATTAATGTCCAAGAGAGAATAAGCTTACATTCTTAGGAAAATATGCAATTTGGGTCATATCTTCTCTCTCCTCAAAGTCGTTACAATAGCGATATTGCCGAGTAGTAAGATTAATAGAAAATCTGGTCAATCAAAGTAAAATTTAAAAAGATCACCATTCACATTCCAGTGTACTTTGCTGTAATACTGAGGGTTAATTCAGCTTTACTTTCTAATGGATTAGAAAGGCCCACAGAACATACCATAAATGAGTTATTGGTCTATGACAACAAAGTATCCATTTGTTTAGTGGGGGCGTAACAGTCAAGCATAGGCTCGGATGAGGTGTTTATTATTTTACGGATATCCTTGATGCGTGCAATAATAAGATGTTTTTTCGAGGATTTGGCAACACAGAAATTTACCCATACAAAACAATATAACTGTGACACTAGTCACTTACCAACGTGTATCAACAAAACCTATTTATGAAGTGATTAACAACGACTTTATAAATGTGAACAATGTTTTACTCCAATTGTAGTAAAATAATAGTTGGACTTTATGTTTCTAGAATTATTTTTCACAATACAACTGAAACATGTTTCTTAAAGCTTTTTCTTTATTTTAATGAATCAGACAGCGAAAATTAGTACTTCGTGCACTTTTGTTTTTATGGTTATAATATAGTCGAAAGGCTTTTAATTATTAAAAGCCATAGTGAGAAACATGATTGAATAAGAGAAACCAGCAAAAGATAAGAGTAATGAATCCAACTATAGCGTTCAATTGGGATGAAGATGATAGAAATTCACGTAAATTATTAGCGAATAGTTCATGCATATGACTTGTGAAATGGATATCGTCGAAAAAGACATAAGAATTTGGCTCTTTACAGAGTTCTATGATGCCTGAGTCGGATACATTCCAGCATGCGTCTATACTATTTTTAAACGAATACATCCATGGAGCAGAGATAATTTTTGATACGAGCGAATGGATATCAAGCATACGTAAAGACATGTTAGTATTGGTAACTTTCAATGAGTCAAACGTAGTCGACAGATTGCTATTAAATTGAAGTGTCATATCATTAAAATACGACTCTTGATTGAGCATACGAAAGGTCGGTGTTGCTTGCAAAGGGAGTAGATTGAAAACCAAAAGATGCTTGATATTCATCTTGAGTAGATCCTTGATGCAATTAGTCAAACTTGCAACGACTAAAGAAGGACGTACCGTTTTATTGCGGAGGATATCATTAGCAGAAATCCAAATAACAAAGAGTGTGCGATTCAAATTGATTGTATTGATATTAGTCTTGTTAAAATAGCTCGCAATTTGTTGACGACCGCTAGGTATTGATATTGATCCTGTTATCATGCTTGGAATAAAGTTGTTATCAGTCGTGGCACCACCATACGCATAATTGATAATATTGGATACACCTAATCTGTCAATCCATAAAGGACCATTGGAGAATCGACCTTGATAATATGGTGGAGGAGGGAAAAAATGGTTTGTCGAATTATAAAAATTTCCTGTATCCGACAATGAGTCCCCAAAGACCACTACTGTATCGAAGGGAATTTGTTGAGTATTTATTTGTTGAATGAATAGAGTAGTTAAGAGGCCAAAAAAAATTAATGGAGTAACACTATACATGCTCGGTAACTGCGTAGTAAACTGATGTAAATGTGTTTTTTTTTAAATTTTTTCTTCAGCCCTATATTCTCCAATTAGAAGACGGTGAGAATTTGGAAAGTAGCAATTAATATAAACTGCTTTCGTCGCTTATTTTTTCCTTTTAAATAAAAGATTGAGGAAAAATATCTGAAATTCAAGAACAAAGAAATAAATCCATAATCAAACTTAACTCTCTGACTTTTCTATGTGTTACAATTTCCAGTCGATGAGGCGAAAGATTAACATTATTTGATGAAATATAATTGAATAATGAAATAATAAGACAAACAAGTTCATCAATCATTTTATTTTTTCAAAAAAATTATTACAGTGAAGCTTTTGGCTCCTTTCATAGGATCATTTTCAATACTAAAGTTTGATGAAAGAGTTTTTTTTTCTTATATATATATGAAGAAACAATTGTTTTTCTTTTTTCTATTCTTTTCTAGTTTTTTCTTAAACATTGCACTTCGATGATATCATTTCTTCCCTTAGTAGTGCAATGTTTAAGAAAAGACTAGAAAAGACTAGAAAAAGAAAAACAAGTGTTTCTTCGTATATATATAAGGAAAAAAACTCTTTCATTAAACTTTACAGTGCGCGGCCAAAAAAGCATGTGCATTTTTGTTTTTACTCATGAACGAATAATAAGGGTACTCTGAAAATTTTCTCTCATGTCAGACTTTGTAGAGCTTTTTTCGCTGATCATTTTGGTAAAAAACGTTTTTGATTTTCATTGAGTAATGATGATGTTATAGTCAAAATACTAAACACTGTCATATAAAGTAGGGAAAAAAAGTTTAGCATACTTTTAGTATTTGATTAATTTTTACGTCATTTCACAACATCTGCAAGATGTTCTATATACCATTCGACGCAGAATTTAATGGGCTACATTT